GTTTACGCAACCACTTCTTCAATCAACAACACAATAACATAATCAATGTTCTGTAGCCCCAGTGCCGTGTATTCCCTCAGTCATAAGAGACGCATTTCTCCTAAAGAATCACATTTGATTAAATGCTGAGTGCCGACATCTAATTCGTTTCTGCACTTGACTTTGTGCCTGTTACTTCTGTCTGTTGTTGCCCTAATAAAACTACATTTGTCCTTTTCCTTACACCCAGTGTCCTCTGTGACATTTGGACGTTCTCTTGTGAGGGTACCATAGACGAGTAGCCATTGTTGAGTCCAAAGGCAATAAGCGTTTGCATAAACAACTCAGCTGCTCAGCAGTAGGCGGGTTAATTGTCTTCATGCAGGGCTGGGGATCAGTGAGACAGATGTGGCAGGAAGCAATCATGTGATGAATTAACCTTGGTGTTAAATTGTGCCAATCAACATTTAAAAATTCGATGAACAAGTCAGTAGGCCAGCATGGAGATCCATACCCTCATCACAGTGAATTTCCTGCTGCGTAAATGGGTAAATGGTAAAATGTGACCCCTGTCTTTCCCTTTTCAGGGCCTCCCGAGAGGCAGTGGCACTTTAAGACAATTCACCATTAGCTTTGGGTAGCTGCCCTAGTAACACCCTTTCTCTGGTAAAACGGAATAGTAAGCAATGTAAATTGTTAAAAAAAATTAAGCCTAGTCCTAAAATGCAGCCATGCAGCTGGCTAAAAGTTCAAAAGCTTTTTTACTATTCGTCTTGACGGAGACATGAATGATTGTACATCATTTCCGCCAATCTATTGACGAGACACTTCACTATGATCCAAAAGTTTCATGGTTGATCAAGAGAATATGTCAGGGGACCATCAAAGTGATTAGGGTTTATCCTCTGGGGACCATAACAGTCTGTACAATATTCCCTGGCCATCCACACAGTAGTTATTGAGATAATTTAGTATAGAACAAAGAAGTCGAGACATGTTGGCTTGATGGCAATGTCTGTTAGCTAGCATGGCTAAAAACAGCAAGAACATTGGGAGTGTTAGGCTGATGCTGCAGATAAAGCCTAATTCTGATACAGTATATAATGCTAGCCGGTATATCACTGTTGAAATATTTCTTCTTCTGATGAATTAGTATTATCTAGCATGCACGATCTTAGAACTGTGCAGCAAGGATCTCAAAAAACATGTGAACAACTACCGTTTCTTTCCATCACCTTGAATATTTCACCTCACTGCGTGCTATTAGTGTAAGAAAATGATGACTCCATTGGTTAAATTTGGCTCTGGCCCTTCTCTCCTTGACTCACTAAATGAGCCGAGTGAAGGATGTTGTGCTCTTCTGCATAAACGCTCGCAGCAAAATAGAGTTTATTAAGACCCATAAAAAACAACATTAAAATTCACAACCAGGGGAGCGTCGCCTGACCCCTGGAGAATGATAAATTAGCTTGTGTTGCTCTAGCAAAACGACCATTTTATACCTTCATCTCCCCCCGGAGCTAACTCCCCTTCCATGGACTGAAAGCGTTTGGCAGCAAGGAATCATTATCGGATGACGCTGACATCATACTGCCTGCTTCCCTCTATCAAAGGACATTTCTCAGCGGTGTGAATGACATTTAATTCAGCTGAATGTCTGCTCTTTACATTCATCTGTGTCAAGTGGGTATAGCGCGGTGCCGCATAGCGCATACCTTCAGCTTAGCAGGTCTGAATTTGACATTGAAGGGTTTGTTGCAGAGAGCAAGGGCCAGGAAAATAAAAGTTAAAAAGTCTCTCCAGAAATCTCTCGGTCGATACAAGCTGCTGCTTAGGGCTCGGTCCATTTGTACCTTTGATCGTGTTCTACCTTTCACTTACCATGGATGAAGTGTTTTCTGAAGCCAGTGCTGCTCTGCTTATCTGGGGCTGGTTGTAATTGTTGAGTGCAGCCGCCTCCTCATGGTTAGTTTGAAGGATGGTACAATAGATTTCATGTGACAGCAGCACTTCGCTTTCCAACAAGGCAAACATGCAGATGTCTGGGCTGAATTTGAGAAGAGATTAAATAAAATGCAAAAAATGATCAATGACACGTATTGAAAACAGAGGGGTTAATACTTAGTTAGTACTAGCTACAGATGAGGCATCTTCTCTTTAAATGGAATAAGCTGTTGCCCTGTATGTGTCTACGTTTAATGACGATCCGCTTGCTAACCAAAGTCCCTTGCGGGTCATCACTGGCAACTCATTAGCACTATGCTAAGCTAATGGATCAGTAAATTGATTTTTATGTGGGCATAAATGCTAATGCGCTACACTGTGACGCTGTTTGACAACGCTGTGTTTAGCAAGCCAGGCTGAGCCTCGGGGGGGTGTTTGTGTCTTATTAGGCCCAGCCAGGGATCTATTGTGGATGTGGGGGACTCAGTGGCAAAACATAAATACAATGAAGGCAGTGCTAAAACACTTGTCCATCCTGCACCTGAAGGTTTTATTGAACAGGGCAAAGACATCCCACAGGTGTAGACGTGTAAACAGACTCAATTACTTTTCAACAGTTACTTGAAAACAGAAAAGCACCCTGTAAGACAGGAGCCAATCGGATGTCAGGTGTTATTTTGTTGCATGATGGTTGTTGCTATGTCGGATTGACACCGACACAAACTGTTAAAATTGAGGAGGCGTGTAGCTCTCATACAGACTCTGTATTTTCAGTTGAAATTCTGCTCCCATACCACAATTTGCTGTGTCTATCCATCCACAATTCTAAAACATATTAGAACAAACAGTACTCTTTTAATGAACATTTACAACACAAATGCTACTTGGTTATTTTTGCATTTTCTCAATTATTTCTCCAGGAATAATCAGTTTGGTGTTTTAGCTGTGGCCATCTGTTTTTCTTGTGTGACCATACATGAAACCAGTGGGTGTATTACAACAAACACCGAAGATAATTTAGGGTTAGGGTTAAGGCTGCTATACTTTCAAAGAGCAACCAATGACATAACAGCTGTTTGTGACGTAACTCCTTACATATACGCTGCACCCAAAAGATAGTGATTGTGACCATGAACTTAGCTTTATAATAATAACCAATGTGATAAATCAAGTGAAAGGTAGGGGCATTTTCTCATAGACTTCTATACTTTGCAAACAGACTTGTTCTTAGACCAAGGAGTCGCCACCTGCTGGATATTAGAGAGAATGCAGGTTTTAGGCACTCCCACATTGGGTTTACTTCTCTAACCAGTAAGTTCACACTTCGTTTGAGGAGTTTTTTTGTAAATAAAAGGAAAAAAGTGCTATAATGCCCCTAAAATCTGTTCATGTATGATGCATCAGACATTCTAAGTGTTTTCAACCTAATGTATGTTTTCTATAAAGTCATAAGGCATTACAAAAATAATGTTTATAAGTTCAGGTATTACCGCTAGTAAATCACCGTATTTGCATCAGAGATAACAATGAGGTCTAAAGAAAATGATGTTTCTTACTGTGTACCTAAAGTGTTTTCATAGCGTGCTATGACAGCTCAGCCCTTTCAGCTCACACCACCTTTGTAGCATTTGTTGATCCTGACTGCAGCCCACATTAAAAACCCAGAGAACAGCAAGACAGACATTCAAAATGAAAGGGGGCAGCAGCCGGGACTCGTTGAGAGAACATCTCTAACCAAGTAGGAGGTGAGTGGGAATACTGGCACAGGACACAGACGTTCTCCAGCCATGATGCAGGCTGAATTTTCACCTTTCTTACATCAAATATTTCTGTTATGTTCTTAAAAAACTGTAGCAAGCATTGATAATGTTACACAAAAGCATAGTTGGCATTTGTTTTTTCCTCTTTTGTTGGTTTCAAGTGAATATCTTTGAAAGTCGATTAATCTAAACCAAAGTAAGAATGTATTTATAATTCAAATGTATTCCGCCAGCTTTGCTCCGAATGAGTAAAGGTTATGCTATCTTCTCTTATGGTTAATTAACTAGTGTTAAAAGTGTTCCCAAACAACACAAACATGATCACCATTTAAATGAAAACATTTAAATGTCATTGCAAATGGAGTAAAGCAAACATTATAATCATTAAATTAATATCACAACACATTTTTATGAAATGGCTATAGACAAAATGAAGGTATAATTGGCCTGTTTGGAAGTGGTTCCTAGTGGCTTCTCCTTCATGTTAAGAGTAGTACAATTGTGTTTATTCCAAGATTATTTTAAGGTGAACCAAGATTTTAGTTTTGAAAAGTACAGCAATGGTACAAGTGGTAGTAAAATCCACGATACATTGTGCAGTTGTAAAATATAATGCAAGACACTGTGTGTGATATACAGTATTACTTCCAGCCTTCTGTGTGTTATTCTTCAATTACTGCACGCCACATTGTGGATTATCTCTTACATGAAGGCATGAGGCAACTATGCAATGTAATATGCTGTTTACATGCATTATGCAGTAGTCTACATTATAATACATCATACACATGGGATTGACAGAAAGTGTTACCCTGTTTCATTTTTACTCTTCACAAGAAAACGTTGTTCGTTTGTCTCGGATACTTTTGCTCTGTCCCTGTTTTGGAAATAATTGGCCTGTGGTATTGTAGTTCAAGCTAAGCTTAAAAGTATAAAATATTTATATAGACGTTTGAGGACCATAAAAGGCATTTTTAGTCATGACACTCCCTCCGAGAGTCAGCAGTGCAGTGCTTGCAGAAGTTAGTTTGCATTTATAACAGCACATATCATCACATCCACTATCATATTGATATTTAACACAAGTAGAGGGCCAGATATTTGTTGTTACTAATCTGCCACTGCCCTGCTGAATGTGACTTCATTAAAGTGTCTCAAATCAAAAAGGGACAATTCATTCACGGTGAGTTCAAACCAGAGAAGCAAACATGAAATCAAAGGTATGGGATCAGGTGGAAATTGCCATTTTCTTACCACACAAACCACTGTTGACCTGAAAAACCCTCTCACATACACACTCACACACTAAATACACACTCTGCAGCTCTCGGGAGCGGACGCTCTCTTTATATCCTCAAATGCATACATTAAGATGGAGATATACATAATGTTTTAGTACAAAGAAAAGGAAAAGAAAAACAGGGTGGCGACATACTGACAAAAACACCAGTAAAATATTATGCAATCTATTGTTATCTTTGTTAGACTAACAGATATATTGTTTTACTTTAGGATGTACATCAATCTTCATATACATTGTAGTATTGCGTTTTATTTTTGAGATATCTTACTGGTGTTCATGTTATTGTGTCCACCTCTTGCAGAAGAATGCCTCTTGTGCTCCTGAGATGAGACCCACAGAACATAAAACACATTAATTGAATCTCTATATATATATTTACACAAATCCTTTCAAGTATATCAAGCATCTGAAACCAGCAAATAGCACGTCCAGCTGGCCAAAACATTTCATATCAAAATATAGTCAATTTAGACAAGGATTCTGAATACATTTAATCACGCATGAATTGATTTTAATTACAGAATTTAATTTGTGTGACATACTGCAGCTCTTTCTCTAGTTTCAATTATATCCCCCCCCCATCATAAATATCTCTATGTACTAAAGAAAAGACACAAAATAAAGTCAAAAACAGGATTCAACCTTGAACATTCAAATGAGATCCAGCATCTGTAAAATCACACATTGTTCTCCGGCCAGATGGTGAGCTCTGGACTGGGCGTGTCCCAAAAATATACAAGAGTATGAATAATGCATTGGATATGACTTATTTAACAGTGTTTCTCTGGATGTGCACGCAGACTCACACATACATATTCACACATTGAGAGATGCAAACATGCACACACGCAGGTTTAGACCATTAAAACGAGCCAGGGGTCCACATCTGCTGAATGCTCCCGGTGGTGTGTGTCCAGGATGTGTGAGGTTCATTGACAAAAACTACTATTCTACTCTATGTTGGCACCACACAAAAAACATAAGTTATACGCTAAGTTGTCCAAAATGTCCACATTTGGCACTCAAGACAGTCAACTCATCTCCGTCGTCTCTTCTGGGACATTCCAATAGACTTTCATGCTTTTTGCACAATGTTCCGTCCTGTGTGTATGCAGTGCAAAGTCTTACCCAGCCAAGTGAGTGAGAGAATCCAGTGGGCAATACAGTCTGGCTCAACCTCATAAAAGTGTCTTTAGCAGCAAGCTGTCATTGACAAATCTTGTCTGGAATATAACACTGGACGGCTTCGTATCGAGATAGTTAAGAAGAAGAAGGGGCCGACTTCTGAAAGACCTTCTGAAAAGTCCAGATCAAGCCACAAAGGTACGAAAAATCTTCAAGGAGGCGTCCCCTGCAGACCTAATGTTGGATATCAAGGGCAACAAAAAGTAAATGTAATGAATGAGTCAATTATTCCACGTCCCGTTGATGAAAGTTCCTCACAGGGATTTTGTTCTATGACGTGTCCAAGGGTTCGCGGTGAAGATTCAAAGCCGATGGTGTACCATGCCTCTCACTGGAGACTTCTCAGAATGCTGAGAAATGTCTGCTAGTTCTTTTATACATATTTGTTTTTACTGAAGGTTAAAACCTGTTGTAAAGTTTGAGAGTCTCATAAGAGAATGGACACAATGTTCTGGTTTAGTGATTGGTCTCAGTACCTTTTGTAGCAGGATGCCGATGACCCTGCAGAACAATGGAGAAAAAAGACAATAATGAGATGGAATAATGTTTTGTAAACCTCTTCCAGACTAGGTTGTTTACACAATTGTACATTTTTTTACATCTGAACAATGACAGGTAATTTTTATGTAAAAGTCACAATAGGTATCTTAGCAAGTCAAACTTAGGTAACACTTTCCGTAGCATAACTCTGCATTGAAAACCACCACATAAGGTAACGTGATTGCTACTGCAACACACAACAAGGTGAAATATGCACAGAGATCTAATGCACTCTAGCCTGTGGGAGACACTTTATCATTTCTTATTAAAAAAAAGACAATGATTCACTGTAATAAAGTCTGTTTGCGAGTTGTTTTGTAGACGTCGATTGCCTAACTGCACCTGTTTTGTTACATTACCGTCAGATCCAGGAAGCGCTTCCTCTTGTTTTTGAAATCAAAAATAAATTCAGTTTAATAAACCATGAAACACTGAAGGAGCCAATTTGAAGCTGTTGAGGATACTATTATCTTTTTTTTACGCTCACGATGCAGGATGAGAAAACACAACATCAACACAGTAATAACCAGCCCAGCACCCCCTCTTTGTATTTTCAATTTTCATCTGCAAAACTCTTTACAGACAGCATGTGTGCTAATTAAGAATTAAATGAGAGCCCAAAATTACCATTTTGTGATTCTCTGCTTGTGCACTGTTGGAGATTATAAAACAAGCAGAACTTTATCTAATAGATGCATAAATTAACGACAAATATTATGAAGAGCTTCACTGAGGGAAGGTTGTACGCCATTAACACTCTTGAAGGTCATTAATTAAGACTTCAGCCACAAAACAGCTTTTTAAATCCAGCGGTGATGAGAGCATAAACAATTTTCTTCTTTGATATTCGTTTTTTGTCTCACCGCTGTTTGTTGGATTGCCAGTTGCAGTTGAAGTGCCAAATAGGGAGCTAGTGTTGCGCCCCTTTCTCTAGGGTCCGAAATACATTTGCATAATGGACAATGGCAATCTGATTGACAAAAAGCCATGACTTAAACAGATGTATAAAACAAGCAATTCCACATATTGCAAGTCTGAAAATGGCTTTATTTGACTTTCATTATCGCAAATGTTATGAATGATTCTGCAAAAGGATTGGTCTATAACTGTATGTGCTACTGGGTTCCTTTCCACATGGAATACATTTCACCTCCAATGAAATCCTGAAGCTAATGACTTAATCTAACCAATCTTTTGATCAAGAAATCCATTTGAATGATAATAGAACTTTGCCATGAATATGTTATATGGACAAATCCATAAATGTTAATCCATAAATGATTCACGGTGACAGTGGACAAATGTGACACCCAGGGCTGCCCATATAAATCATTCAGACACTTAAATATGAGTTGGCAAATCCACACAGAATTGCACAAATTCCCAGGGCTGGCAAATAAATATTTATGACGCCCCCAATTCCCCCTTTCTCCCTATCCTTGGTAATTGTGCGTGATTCATTTTGTTTTCTCGGTGGAAGAGGGAAAATCAATCTCAGAGTATTGGCTAGGAGACATATAGCATGCAGATTCCCAATGCCCGTGGTTTCGCAGAATATAAAAAGCTTAACAGATACTCAGTCAATGTTTTTGGGAGGGGAATTTAGTTTCATCTTTAGATTTCCTTGTTTTTTAGAGAACAGATTGTTTGTGGAAGTTGCCAGAAGAGCGAGCCTGATTCTAGATTACCTGCCGACTTTTAGTATTGATTTCTGCAGACGCACACATCTTAGGAATTTGTTGGAATTGGCATATACAGTTGAAGAGGATTCTTAAAAGGCTCCTTCTTGTGGTTTTTGCTTTTGTGAAGAATGCTCCAGTTCAAATCAGTTTTCCACCTTTGTCCTGAAAGAAGGCCTGGACACTTGAAGTAACCTCTCCCTTTGATGTTAGCACAGTGGGGCTTTTTACTTTCCATCCTTACGCATTTGAAAACACTCAACAACCCCCTTTGATTGACCTTTTTTGACTTTTTCATCATCAAAGTTACGACATCCTGAGAAACATGCCTTCTCCATTTCCTGGATGATCTTTATTTGAGCTCAGCAGTAATGCGATATACATAACATCAACACACACTAATGGCTGACTCATTCCAGGTCAGAGCTACACTGAACATTTATACAACTTGCAATTTAGGCATGGCTTCTGCAGTCTCCCTTAAGAGTCATTATTTCAGGGTTCTATGCGATATTACAATCAAAAATGTCTTCGTGGCTTGTATGTCAAAGTGAGGGTTATACACTTTTTATGCAAATGAAAGTACAGAATGGGAAAAAAGTACGTACTTGCAGTGTTCTCCACATCCTACGACGGCTCCTTGGGCAAAGGCTGCAAGAGAGAAGTACAAGGTCAGCATCGGAGGAACAGAGGGCCAGCCTTCACTAACGTTTGTTCAACTTTGCCTCAGCGTACTGGCCTTGGATGCAGAGCAGCATATGTCTGTTCAAAAGCACAGATGGCCTGTCTTCCAATTATATCTAAGGCGAGACGATGGAAACTGAAGGTTATTTTGTTCCCTACCCAGTTTTTATGACCTCTGAGGACGCCGCTTCTCTCCCCGACCAGAAAATACGAGCGAGTAATGGCCACCTCATCATCCGCGCTAACGACTGAGAGACCTTTTCTTTTCTACCATCAACGCCATCACACGGACAGAACATTTGTATCACATTAGCTGTAGGGCAGGGTGATACACAGTGTTCCACTTTGTTTCTCTGTGAACAATAACTTCTTGCCTCCTACATTCATCTGTAGAACACGTGAAAACGCATTGTTTTCCCCCTGACCGGAGGAAGAGAAACAGCTCCCTTGCCTTCTTAATATTGGTGAATGAGCCACTTTTGTGTAGATAATGACTCGGCTAATCATAATCACGAAGCTAATGGTCTGTTTAGCCAATCAGTGGAGGTAAGGCGAGACGGCTGTCTGGGCTGCACATTGGCATTCCCAGCAGCCCCTGCTCTCTGTGCCAGGCTGTGTGCTGCAGCGAGCTGTACTTGGTATTCTGCGCCCCCCCCCCCCGGCCCGCCGTCCCGCGATCTGTCGCTCTGAAATTCAGTCCTTCTGAAGAGGCGCTGATCCATCTCACCTCTCCGGCAGCATGTCATCTAAATGCTAAGTACTTCCACTGCATCTTTAAATCAAAACAAGAAAAGAAACGAGTGCGGGGGGCCAGCGCTTGGAAGGGATAAAAGCCTATAAGGGCACAATGGAATGTGCAGAGCAAACTCTTAGCTTTTTGATTACATTCATTTTCAAGAGAGAGGAAATGTGGGAGAGGAGAAACTGGACGAGATGGAATGCATATCAGGAACCCAGAGACCTTGTTATCCCTTCAAATGTACATGGGAAAAGAAGTGAAAATAGATATTGATACACCCACCCTGAAGGTTTGTTCAAAGAAAATAGTATGTTGCTTGATTTCTCTCCAAAAACCATCATGATCCACCTGATCTGCTCCCACAATAAGGCCCCCACCCCTCTTCTAGACTCCTGGGCTCAGTTGGTCTCTTTGCTATCGATCGGAGGGATTCTTGAAGTCGGAGCAGAGTGCTGAGGCGGCAGGAGCGGCCAGCACTATTAACTGCTCCTACTAATTAAAAGGGTAACAAGGTGAGTTCGGCCCGAGGGGGGAACCCGGGCGGAGACGGAGCCCACTGTTAGCCTGCCATGCACACCGGTAAACAGTGCCTCTGGTGTTTACAAGACAGGAGACCAAGGACATTGAAGACACATTCATCTCCCGCTGGCACGAGGGATTGGGGAGATCCACAGATAAAGGAGAGAGAGAGAGTGGAGCACACTAATAAGCGCTTGGCTAATTGCTCATGTTGCAGAGAAATTCAAACATTTGGACCTCGTCTGTGAGCTCGGGGTGCCTCGTTTCATCGCCCACTTGTAAACAATGAGCACCGTGCATGAATGATAAAGTTTGCTCAGTTCAAATGAGGTGCGCAGCTTGGATCTTTGAGAGAGTGCCAGCGGAGATTGGCAACAAATATTAAGGGATTCAATTAACTTCCTACCTTATCATCAACACAGCATATTTTAGGATCAAATTATTTTTTAAGATACAGTATGCCTCAAATTACACAAATAAAAACCTCAGCCAAGGTAGCATTACACACGTCTGTGGGGCCGGGAGGGACAGCCACAGAGAGTACAGCATGTTTGCTCGTTGCTCAGGGGGAAACAAAGGAGAGATATTTAGTGGTACTTTAAAATGCAAAACCCTCACCAGCAGCCCACCCAGCCGTTATAGAGACAGGCATAGTTCCAGGACTGCAGTAACAAAAAATCTCTCCCCCAGGTCTCTCCTAACAAGTGGGCTCCTGCGCGGGCTTTTGTTAGCTTCATCAACGTGAGGCTCATCGAGGTCCCGGTCATTACCAGCCACTGTTGTTATTAGGCTAACAAGCACAGCTCCGGCCTGCTGAAGACCCCGAGGAGGGGGGGGGGTGCATCATGCCCCGAGCATGTTTTACAAGCACAACTAGCTCAGAGGAACAAAAACAACTTTAGTTACAAATCATAGGGTCGTATCTGCTGCTTTTTAAGGAGCCCGCTAGAGGAATAAAACAGTGTTCAAAATGATGATGCTTTAGTGAAGTAAAAGAATATATAGCTATGAAAACACCCACAGCACAACAAGCTGGAACACTGAATCGTGACCCAGGGGATAAGCATCCATGACCTGTGTGAAACTAAATATTTATAATTTATGTGTTTATAAAAAGAGCCAATGACCTTACCTTTATAGCTCAAGTTAAATGAATGACTGATTTCAACCTTAATCATGATCTCTTTTCTAACAATAACAAGGGATTAGATTGCTGCCTAAAAAGGCTAGAGGTGATAGCTGTGTGAAACGGTATACATTGGTAATATATCGGGATGTATGTAGTGCAGCTTCAAATATAAGACATGTATCATTTTTGTTCTGTTTAGGATGTTTTTGTTCCAGACTAACATTAGTTTGCAATCATGTCTGTGCGGTTTGAATATCAAAAAGCAGGCTCTTAAAAAACTACATTTGTCTGCAAATGTTATTGTTGCTGCTGCATGATGATGCATGTTAAGTGCAGACTAAATCCAAAAAGCATAATTGAGCTTCCCTAAAAAACAACTTAACTTTGACAATAACAAATCTATGACAACTTGATGTTCATTGAACAACATAAATCAAACAAGTGGCAAAAATCTGCTTCTTGATTTTTGTACCAACAGAAAAGAATGGAAAATATAATATGCATAAAATGCAGAGAAACGTACGGAGCCCCTAAAGGGACATGGGAAAAAAAAGAAAAAAAAACAGAGAGAGAAAAAAAAAGTCAGGATAACGGGTTAGTATCTCGTGCGCACGAGAAGGTATCTTGTGAGAAAAAAAAAGAAGATAAAAAAAAAATAAAAGTCGGGATAACGGTTTAAGAGACATAAAAAAAAATATGAGAAAAAAAATTAAGTCAGGAAAACGTTTTACTGACTTTATTTTTTTCTCTCTTTAATTTTTTGTTTCCATGACCCTTTAGGGGCTCCGTAGAAACGCTACCAATCAAATGTGAAAAAAACAGTGGGATAGTTTGTAAAATGGTTAGCTGTAATTGTGTAAATGATTTGTGGCTAAAATCATACACAATCCCTGCTATTGTCATTTTAAATTAAACTGTTATCAGCAAAATGTCAATACATATGCAAAATGCAATGCTCATTATGCAGAGTATATTATTATATGTATTATATTATAAGCATACAATTATATTTAGCTTTATATCGCTGGATATATACTGTATGTTTTTAGGGTGACAGCGGCATCATAAATGGGACAAAAAGGCAGGTTGTGGCTGGCTGGATTGAAGGTAGCAGCACTAAACAATGGAAAGGGACGATGTTGAGCATGTTCGAATGTGTCCAATCCATTGACAGGCTTCCTGCATTATACAGGGTACAAGAAACGTGGCCTATGGCTCTGACGATTTCACACCAGGCGAAGCTCTGGAGACGAGCATTGTGCGGGGTAAAACTCACATGGCAGTTCAAAGCCTGCCGATGACAGAACTTCAAAAAAGGGAGCGGGGGAAAGTGACAGCAGAAGGTACCGCGTTCACTGGGTCTCAGACACAGAGGGAAAAAAGGTGCAGGAAGGCAAGCTGAAGAAAAAAGTATTTTAATAGATGATGCAGGAAACAAAAACAATGTGTTGCTTCTTTTATGTGCCGTGAATGAGCCCCAGAGGAAGACACTGTAAATGTAATCACTAGGCTCCATGCATGTAACACCTACTGTATGATAACACCAATGAAAACAGGGGAAGCTGGATTCTCCCTCTTTCCCAACATCTCTATCTTTCAATACATTTTCCGCATCAGTCCACAAGCTATCACCCCAAGACGGATGATCGCGCGGCAGCATCTGACAAACACATGAGCCGAAACCAAATGAGTGCATCCCTCTTTTTTCTGCTTGATAAATAGAAGACCTGTAAATGAAACCGAGTACATTTGCTTATCAGGCGTAACCTCTGTGTCATTCCGGGGTTTGCGTTTGGTTCGAACGTCAGTCATTTAATAAATGTACATCCAAAGGCGAAGCTACAATATGTTATCCCTGCGGAGCCGGAGAGAGGCTGTCACATGCGATATGACAGGAGCACCGTCAGTGAGTGAAAGCCTGGAGGTGAGCCAGTTCAACATAAACGCTGGACTTGTGCTCTTTTGTCTGATGTATGTATCAGACAAAATGGTGGTGCATTCAAGTCATTAAATTAAGAACGAGCAAAAAATTGAATTCTCAGTTAATTGCAGATTTGCATCTCTCTTCTTGGCTTGAATTTATTTTAACCCAACATTGATGAAATAGTAATTATAATGTAAGAATTGTACTTGCTGGTGCGCAGAATTAAATATTTTCATGAATTAAAGAGTCTGAAAGCCAGCAGAGCATTGAAGGACACTGTGCACAGCGAGCATATCTAATATTTGAAATTGCTCTGGCTTATTTTTTTCCAAATTCATGTTGGAGATGCAAACATTTCTCTGATTTTCAGCTCTAATTTCCTTGCTTATATTTTCCTGCTGTGTTTAAAACAAAACCATTGTAACACTTCCTTGAACTAACTGCCCATTTTTACCGTTTGAACCTTTCCATTCAAGAAATCCTATACTTTAGGTGGTTGGTATTATTTTGTTCTCGTCTTAATGAATGCTGCTGATCACATTGTCAAATGAGAAGGATTCCACTATCATGGACCCCCTTCATCTAAAGATGGCATCCCAGTGAGCATATACATGTAAAGAGGTTCAGAAGCCAGCTCTTCAGATACAAGAGCTGTA